CTTTCAACCCGTAACATTCTATGATTCTATGAGTGACTGAGAGTGCAGCAGGCAATTGGAGAGAGGCAACACATCTCCCGTACGCTGACAGAAGCGCGTTGCAAATGATTTTCAAATGACCTAACTAAGCTATACTCTGTACACCTGTCCAGACTGAACAAACAGACTGGATTTGTAGTGAAGATTTCAATGCAAGCTCATGGAACAGAACTTCAGAGTGCTACTCTGTGTTCAATTTCATTTCATTCATAATTTAATTCAATTGAATATAACAATTAATTGTTAGGCTCTGCTTCGTAATGCCACTCAGGCACAAAAGACAGTAAATCTGACTGTGCTGAGTTTTACAGGGCAAATAACTAATGATGTATTATTTTTTAAAGCAGGAAAACAAAAAAAAAGATAGGTGTCATATTCTAACAAAGTGTATTTTGAAATTATTAATTTTTACATCAAAGCAGATGTTTAGGGAACAAGCTGAACTGAAACATAATATAACTGCAGACCAGGTGGACAACTCTATTCAAAGCTGTAAAGCAGCAAACCTTTTGAGCTCCTCTTGTATCCTTCAGTGCACTTATTAACTCTTCTAAACTTTTCAGTTTTAACTCCATCTCCAGTGCTCTGTTTTCTGCATTTCGACGCTCCTGCTGCGCGTGCTGAACTTCCTCCAGAATCTTCAGTTTGTCATTCTGTAGCTGAATCATGGTTTTAGAGAATTTTTCTTGCTGTGCCAAGGGAAGAGCACCACTAAACTGTCGCCGCAAAGACTGAATTGTCTGTTGTAGATGTTTGGCTCTATTTCTTCCTTCCAGTCGGGCGAAATATAAGGCTTGCTCTCTCTCATCAAGCTTCTGCTCTAAACGTAGATTATGGACCTCCATCTTCTGGAGTTTCAATTTAAGTGTCTCCAGTTTGCCTACAGCAACAGATTCTCTATCCTGAAGGGCTATGATATGTTGATGCAGTTTTGCAATAACTGCTTTTTCGTCTGACTGTGCCTAAGAACAAAATTTAGAGAGGAAATTTTGTTTTCATTTTGAGTATGTTAATGCAGTATATATCAAAACATGAACAAGCTCTCTTTTTATGTATTTTTCTATATTTCATGTATTTTATTCCATAGATAAAAAGCTATTTTTAGGGACTAATTGTTGCAATTCTTCTTATGCTTTTGTATCTACAGCCACATCTTAGATGTACACCTTTTCAGATACTGATCGCAAAAAATGTATCTTTCCAGAAGACCAGGAAATGAGGAAGAGATGTATACCCAAACTTAGAAAATATGGTAACGTAAAAGCTGACACGAGTATTGTATTTAGGGACTCAAACTATTCTAGAACAGGAAAACAAATCCCAATAAATTGTTCTGGCTAATACCAAAGCAATACACTAAGTCTACTGCAAATCTTCAAGATTTCCAAGTCCTTGTTTCTCTTGTAAAAAATAAGGAAACTTTCCTGATACTATATGTAAATATAAACCATGAACAATAATCATACAGGAGTAAATATTACTAAATAAAATGGAAATAAACACAGGATCTGCAACAGCTGTACAGCTAGAAATAGAAAAGTGGAGAAGGGAATCATTAATGTGTTACAGAACTCTTGAAAGACTATGGCCACTACAAGGACCAGCTTGCTAAGATCCTCACTGCTTTTGCAGTTTCCTAATTCACTGTAAAATTACTTGATTTCTTCTCACTCCAGGGAAAAAAAAAATCCCAAATGCAACATTAATAAAGGCTGAATTTTACCTGATAGTCTAAAATTTGCATTCTAAGAGATTCCACTTCTTTATCTCTGGATTGCTGGCGTGCCTCCAGAGCTTCAACTTGCATTTTTGCTACATCAGACAATTCTCTCAACCTTGTAGAGAAAGCAAGAGTATTGTGTCACTTGAAACCACTGAATAACCTATTAAACTTTTCTACATAGAAGATGCCAAGAAAAGATGCTTCCTCATATAAAAACATTTGAAGAGTCTGTTCTTCTCAGCATACTCTATTACTCAGAGTTCTTGTTATGAAAATATTTCTGTATTGCCTCCCAACTTTTTCACAGAACACTTTCTTTTCAGTTATACAGAAGTTTACTAGCAGTAATCTACCCCAAGAAAATGATGCCATGTTAAATTTTTACCCGAACTACACATCTCTGTCCTCTATTTCTCTCCCACTTTCAGAACAGAAATGCCCAAAGAGTTTAATTCCCAATTCCTTTTTCTTCTTCCCAAAATTTAATCACTTGTTTCCCATGTCAACATCACTGCAAAAATCCCCACAAACTTTGCTGTGGATTATGTTATTTATTTAAAGACAAATGTCCACATCGACAAATCTAAAAAAGGTCACTTTTTCAATTTTTGCATAGAGAGTTAATCTCTTTCAAGTAAAAGGCAAAAAAACCCACAACATGCTACTGCAGTGTAAGCTTTGATCTCAAAAGATTGATCTACAAGCCTCTGAAATAAGAATTGCTTTCCAATTTCTTTTATGAGATTTTCACACGTTTAAGGGAGGTTGTGGCACAGAAACAAAGTAAACTTTAATTAGATAGTTTAAAAATACTAGTAATAAGCATTTAAGGGCACACTTACTCATGTCTATCCAGGCGAGCATTTAATTCCTTGTTCAAATCAAAACTGAGCAAAATAATTTTTTCATAGTCACAAATTAAATGCTTAATTTTCAATTCCAAATTTGGCATATATAAAATCCATCAAAAATAGGCATTGAGAATTATTTGTTAGTATAATATAAGCCTGCAGAGCCTGATTTTTTTGATGCTTTCAAACGCATTTTCAAACAGCGCATTTGGAATTTGTTACTTCAACACTTACTTTGATACTTCAATTTTGAGCTCCATCTCACACTTCTGCAGCTCCATGATTTGTCGTCTATCTGCATCACTTACTGCTTTACTTACACTCTTTGATAGTTCATCTCTTAATTCCTGTTCCACTTTCTGTGCTTCAAGGTTGATTTTGGTGAGCTTAAATAAAAACACCAAAAAAGAAACAAACAAAATGGTATCCTCAGCACACAACTGCTCCTAATTCTGCAGTGTCAAAATCATTTTTTTCTTTCTCAGTCATTACAAAACACTGTTCAGCGGTGTTCAAAAAACAGTTTCCCCTCTGTTTAAAGGTCTTTTTGCTTGCAGTACTGCCTACACCTAAGAAAAGATACACAGTTCAGTGCAGAACAGGAGTCTAAATTAAACACAGTTTTTGTTAGTGAATTTCCTTAAAATCATGACCACAATAAGCTGCTCTTAAAGTAAAACAAGAAAGAAAGAAAAAAAAAAAGGCTGTAAACTCTTTAGAAAATGAACAGTCTTACACATTTATGTTCTTTCTAAAAAGGATTTTCATAATTAAGTAATATTCTTTCAGGCAGCCTGATTTTTCAAGTTGATTATTAAACATCAAGTCACCAATGTTCAATTCAAACCAAAGAACACAGAAGAAAAGCCAGATATCTGAAAGGCATTAGGCAACACAGAGAAGCCTCAGGAATTGAGTAAATACAATTGCAGCAGATTAATCTGATACCATTCCTTAATAAAATAACTGATGCCCTAACGAAACAAAAAGTAGTGTGGTCTCCCTTACTACCTGCATTTCACATACCGGAGGTAGTACTACCTGGAAATTTTAACAGTCTTGTTGAGTAGATTTAAGAATTTAGGAGATGTCTAGTAGACTTCTAGTTATCAGGTCTTAAACTGATGTCAAAACTTTCACTAATTACCTTAGCACAATCTTGGTTTATATATACATGAAAACCAAAATAACGATTAGGAAGCACTTACAACGGGAGTACATGAAACAGAAAAATATATGTCCTGGAACTACACAAATTAGGAAAAGAGGGATGCATACGAAAAAAAAAGTGGCATTAGGAGCTCATCACACCAAAATAAAGGAAGACCAGCAGACCTAAATGTATTACAAGACAGATACTAACATATGCAAAAGAGAAAAAAATGCTAGGGTCCATCACTTGATGTATTTTTTAATGAAATAAAAGATGTCATGTGCTCAGAACAGGCTTTTTAACAATACTGCTTCTGAAAAGCTTTCCACTTTCAAAGCTTTACTCCAAGTCTCATAAATTAATGCAAATCAAAACAATGTAACAAACACTACTCAAAGACAGAAATGGGGAGTCAGATAACAGCCATCTAAAGTACCTAGACTAAAATTTAGCAAAGTAGAAGGAAAGAGATTGAAAATAATCTATCAACATTTCTGTCATAACTATTCATTTTCTTACCTTTTTAAATTATAGGCCAATACTGGCCCCAAGAACAGATGTACCCAGCCTTTCTATAAATAAATTTAAACCAGAAATTATAATAAAGTCTTCTATTATTAAATAATGAATTTATATAACAAACTTCAAACACAAATAGTGGGGACAAAGACGTCTAATGAGATTAAGACTGATGCAACAGGCATTTTAAGGATGATCAGGTTCAGTGGCACATGACTTTTGTTCCCATATTACAGATAGAGTTTGGCACACGACAGACGACAAAGTCAGCCTGTAACAGAATCATGACACTATCATTTGCAGAAGCCTAATGTTTTTTGAATCATTGATAACTTAAGGGAAAATTAGCACAAAAGGGATCATACGAATTAGTTGTAAAAAGTAACAGGTAAAGAACAGACCTGATTTTTTTCTAGCATTCTACTGAAAAATTAGCAAACCATTGCAAGATGGTCAGCATATGTTATACAGAAATTAACTACTGTTTGAAACGAACTACTGACTAATTAATTAGCTATATTTTCTACAAAAGTTCCGTGCATGCAAAATTGCAGCTCTTAAAAGCAGCTGTATTTTGTATCATAAGCTTATTTGCCAGTCATAATACAAACCAGACTAATATGTTCCGAAAAGCTCAAAAATATGCTTTCAAGATGTGTCAAATTATTCTGTTAAATTTGAATAGATTACCTCAGCAAATTTTGTTTCCAATTCAAAATTACGTTCTTCTATTTGCTTTACAGTGTTCCTTAAATGTTCATACATTTGTTGTGAATGTTCTGCTCTCTGTCTTTCATTTAGTTCTTTCATCTCCAACATTGTGATTTTCTTAGAAATGGACAAAATCTCACTGTTGGTTATTGCTTTCGTAGCCTTGTCGATGGCATTGTCATCCCCTACAATAAAAGAGTATTTATGTTAGGGAATACACAAGCTGATTCAACCAAGAAAATTATTTGCACCATGAAACAGTTGACTTTATCTCTGTCAGATAAAACTTTATCCAAACACCTGTATCACTTTTTAAAAATAGACGCATGGTTATCTTGCCTTATTACATGTTTGAAAAGTACCTAATTTGAACAAAATATTATTATCAGTTGTACATGGGTGTATTTGTAACCATGGGTATTGAGATTGATGATTATTGTCAGTGTACCCTTTCACATTATCCTCAATTCAGCTGGTAAATACTCAGGAAATTTAATTTAAAATCTGTGAAAGAAATATATGTGGATGAGTTCTTCTTGAATAATGGGAATGTGAACCATGCACAAAGAAGCCTTAGCTATCAAGAAAAAAACTACTTTGTTATAGAGCATGAAACCAGGAAAAAAAAAAAACAATTTCCCTGACAACCTATGAAGTATTTTGACTGACATTCAAGTCAGAATATACTGCACCTTATTAAAAAAAACCAAATCAGATGACGTTGCTTTACAAGTTCCAGCTTTTAAACCTTTGACACAGTAACCCAAGAAAAGTCAATGTGGAACAGTTTCCAGAGGTAAACACCAAACTCAGTTCTGGTCAAACAGATAAGTAAAATTAAACAAACAAACAAACACACCAATAAAAGTATCAAAAAAAATAATTAAGACTGTTAATGACAAATGCAAAATAGTTTTGATTTCTATGTTGTTGTTTTAAGATACATCAATTTTAAAAGGTCTTAAAATATTACTTTTGGACAGGACACACCATTAGACTTTTAATGTTGCAGTATAACTTTCATACTTGCCCAGTTTAGTCATCTGTTCCCAAGCCTGTTCTATAGTGTGAAGTTTCTCTTTCGTGATCTCCAGCTCCTTGTTCAATAAATCTATCTGTGTTTTCAAGGATTCATTCTCACGCTGTATGACAAAAAAGTTGGGACATAACAAACTACTTAACTGTAGCAGCAGAATTGATGTTTAACATCTATAAAGTCTTGTAAATCAGTAGATTTTATCTATGCACAATCCATAATCTACAGATCCGGCAAGAGAAGAGCATTAAGCTGCCTCTTAAATATAAAAGTGCCAGTCTTTCCTCTCTCTGTTTTATCTTACTGCCAATTAGTATTATTGTAAACATTTACCATCAGTGACTGATTCCTAGAATTAGAGGAAGAAATCTATGTTTGTCATATAAACACCTCATTAACAGCGGGAAAGAAAGAAGTACTTCTAGAGGATGTTTCACTCTGCATAGGTTACTTCATGTAGCACATAAATACATATTTGAGGCTATTTGAGACAGAATATTTGCTTCTTTTCACTCTTTTAAGCATCTAAGATAATGCTAAACATTAGCTCTGTAAATGCTCTCTCACTGTTCCAAACAGAAACGCCAATTTCCAAATGAAGCAATAAAATGAATTGAATGCTTCATATGAATTTTTAATCTCTAATTTTTCAAGCAAATATTTTTAGTTTATAATTGATAAATGATTCTCTAGCTCAGTGAAATTGCTGAGATAGGCAATGCAAATCTTCATGCACAGGAAATTTCCTAAAATAGGCAAGGATTTGTTCACTCTTTAGCTAACACAAATGCACCTACCTGTTCCCCAGAAGACCAGTTTAATACTTCATTAAGTTTACCCACCACCCTATCCTTTGTCAACCACAGAAACTCAACAGAAAATAATGTGACATAAGCTTTAGCTACTGGTTAAGCTATTATTTTCTTGGACTGTTGCTTCCGATACGAATGAAAAGTAGGACGCATGTTTCAAGCCAGCTTCGCAGTTCTTGAAAAAGAGCTCTCTTCTACTTGAGACTGAAAGTCCAATGGAACAGTTAGAAACTTGCAATCCCTATGACATTTTGCAAATACACTGTGAACAACCTGTGGTTATTTACTTCTTTTCTGGAAGTGAAATTTGAAAGGTTTACTGCTTTTTGGAACCGAACATTTGATTCTTTAAGAGCGCTTACTTTGAGAGAAAGCTTTGAAAGTGTTTATGTGCATTCTACTTGCCTTAGGAGCTCCAAAACCAAAGACAATACCCAATACTCTTTCTGCCAGCCTTGTTTTGGGAATCAACGAACTACAAATGTGAGGAAACATGCCCAGAGCTTACCTTAAAAAGCAAACAAAATTAAAAACCCAACAAACAGGCAAACCCCTCAAAGCAATCAAACAAAATGCTTTTAGGTAGGCCCACTGAAATGAAATCTGGGACTTCATGCATGTTTCTTAAACCACTGAAAAATACCAGTTAAGTAAATTAAAATGTCATAGCAACAAAAGACTGGCTCCAGCATCTCATACCCACAATGGAACTGTTGTAGCCTGTATCTCCAGAGCTGGGACTTACATTCTATCTTTCTATTAAACGAAAACAAAACCTCATGCAGAACGAATGTATAACAAGGGGTTTTTCCCCTTAGAGCTCAAACACAAGAGACTTTACCTCCATGTGTTCCATGTTTGTTGACCGTTGGACAAGCAAGTTATCTTTTTGTAACATGTCTCTGTATTTAGCAGTTAATGCATTATACTGCTTATTTGCCAGTTCTAGTTCAGACAATGGCACGCTTCCATCCAGCGCTTTCTGCAGAGCTGCAATTTTAAAGCTAGCCATTTCCTATGAAAATAATCAACACAAAGGGTTACTCAGGCCTGCCAGATTTTTAAATAGAAAAATACCACCTAATATAATGCTTTAGAACATGATCCTGGTTTATTTTACTGAATTACTATCCATCTTTAGAAACTGCTTGCAACAAACACTGACAAAATTTCTCTGGTATTCCAACTCTGGGTGATCTTATCACTAGTTGCCTCTAAGCCATAAGGCACTGACAAAAACATATTTTATAAAGCTGAGTTAATACAGGCCCTAGCAACCTGCAAGGCCAAAAAAGTAAGGTTTGGTTTCATATGACACTCAATAAAAAGATCTGTTGAAGCAGCTTCAGAAAGGAAAAACTGACAGGTTTCATATTAGTATGCTTATTTAAAAACAAAGAACATTTTGACAAAATTTATAACAGCATGTTAACAAACATTTGGGAAATGCGTTCAGGAAACTGCTCCCATTTTAAAAACATTTATTTATTGCCAAATTGCAAAAATAAATATGTGTACTATTACTGCTATAGCATGTACCTTGAATCGTTGCAAGTTTCCAATCTTCCCTATAACTGCAGTCTCCATATGTGTTATTTCACCCTTTAGCTTCTCATTTTCTTTTCTAAGATGCTGCTCCATTTCAAGTAAAGTGGTACACTGCCTTCTCAATGACCTTTCATTAACTCGTAAAACAGTTATTTTTCTATTATTTTCTGCAAGTACTTTTTTTGTTTCATCAGGATCCAGCTGAAGTGCACTGAGTAAATCCTGTAAAATAGTTTTTTCAGTAAGAAGCTCGTACAGAAACATGGTAAAACTCAACTGCATAGACAAGCTTTCTTGCACATTTTTAAATCTAGGTGTAAAAATTCCATTAATCTGTCTGAAATAATTTATTTTTTCTGATAAAACACATATACTCAACACATGCATAAGCATATAATATTTTATCATAAGAAAATTAAAAAAATAAAACTTGTAAGCCGTTACTTTCTGAGGAATATAGGATAAATACATCTCACTGACATCTCACAATTGGGATTTTAGTTAATGTCGACATTTTCAAAATTTAGAATAGTTCTCTGCATTCATTGTTGTCAGTCTTCCCCCCTTTTACTAGAATCAATTGGAATAGTTTGTCAAACCAACTAGAATCCCTGTGGTTCCTAACAAACACTAATAACATCCTACTGTGAGGCCCAAACCAGCATTTGTAAAGTTACCACAGGACCCCTCCTGCAGAAATGCACTTATGCTCGTGTGCATGTGTGCCCACACATGTGTTTGCACACTTGTATAAATCTGAGGAGGAGTGGGAGGGGGGAAGGGGACTACAACAACTCAGGCTGCGAAAGGCGTGTGAGCTTCAGCTTCCATGTCGCACACATCAGCTTGCCAAGGAGACTGGAAGTATAAACTGGAGCTGTAAAATCTCAGATTTCTATAAGTCAAATGAAGAACGGTGAACAGGTAGCTAAAAAAACTCCAGAGGCATGAAAGCTTGAAGCGACGAAAATAAGGCTAGCTCTGAGACAGCTGGCAAAGATTTGTCTTTACTGATCAAGAAGCCTGTTTTGCTTAAGATTTTAAGACCAAGAAATATATTTTCATTGATCATTCACCATAAATTAATTACAGAGAAATGTTTAATCCAAAAATGTTCAACTAACTCTAATCAAAATTACATACTAACAAAAAATAATGCTAAATAAGAGTATGTACTTCTTATCTATGGAGAGGATGTGTTTCTGGAAACAAAAGTATTGGGAAACAGTAGTTTCTTAAAAGATCTCAGTAACACTTTGATAGCACCACAAATACCATAAAATACCATTATATTTTAAAGACATTTAAAAAACAAATCTCAGAAATATCTTAATCCTGCTACGATCTACTTCTGTGACTCTGGAAACACAGAACAAGATATTGAACAAATTAAGATGGCATGCCCTTCCTCTCACTATTTTTAAAACATACAGTAAAAACATCTGCAAAAAAATTTCAGTTTCAGTTTTCCGGAAATATATTTAGACTTAATTGCCTCAGGATACAATGATTTTGCAAATCAGTTGCAGTTATGGGTGTGATTATAGGCAGGACCACATACCACTACCATTACTCTTCAGCAGAAGAAAAGTGTTAGAACTCAGCTGGCTAAACTTAGGAATCCATGAGCATTTTTAAAACCTTGTGATATCCTTGCCCTGTGTCTGCTTCTCTAAAAGAACATGCGTGTCTCCAGTCTTTTGTTGTATTTGGCAGCTTTTTTGGTATCTGCCCAAAGACACCCAAAGCCATCTAAAATTGCGCTACATCTGTGATTAGCATGTGCATCAATTCCAGGAGCTTTTAAACATCACCTACTTAAAAAGTTATTTTTCAGCTTTCTTAATAGAATATATTGAATTCGATATTGGTGGAAGTAAATAAAAATAGATGAATTCTGTCTCTTGTTTTTGTGAAACACTGATACGCATACAGTAGCAGGCGTATATAAATGAGATGTAACTCAAAGTAATAATTATGTAACGCAAATTAATTCTTAGTATAAACTTATGTGTTTTCCATAGGGTTGCCTGCACTGCCTCGTCCTCCCAACCAAAGAGCTTGGATAACAGCAGCTGTTAAAACGTCAGTGTCAGTGTAAATGGGGGTCTGCGAACAGAATCCTTGAGACTTTGGGAGACAGCTTCTGCTCAGCACTGGTAAAGAGGAAGATCACCATCAATCAGATTGAATAGTAACCATGAAATTAGAGACTTGAAATAAAGAAGCAGTCAACCTGAAAATCATTTAAAAGAAGCATGAAAGCGTCTAACAGCTGGGGGCAGAGAGAGTTCTAACATAGCATTCACCACCTAATTCAGCTTCAGAAGTTTCCCTGCAGGACACCGCGAGCCCCGACACCGCAGCTCAGGGACTAGTGGGACGAAGAGCAGCAAGGTGGGCCCCACAGCTCCCGGGTGTATACAGGGCCTCCTGGGGTGACTTCTCACCAGTGCGTGGATAAGCAGGGTGCAGGCAGGTGCAGGGGCACACCTAACAGCGGAGTCCTGACGTGTGCACAGCACCCCCCAGCAACCCAGGAGGGTGAGCACGCAACAAAGCTTCGCTCTCAGGAACGGGAGGGAAGTGCTGGCAACCTGAAAGGGCCAGGGAGTGAATGTAACTGTGAATGCGGATGTGTGAGATGGGAAATATGTGAGATTAATTCTTGAATGATGCTTAGAGATGTTTAAGTCTACAGTAATGCTTTTTATGTGCCTTTTGTATTGTTGATATTGATTCTGACTGTATAGTTTACTGATGATTATTTACATTCCACTAATAAATTAATAAATCACTCCACTTCTGATTTGATTTGAATCGAGTAGTTTTTCCCTTGCAACATTTCACTATCTAACACATTATAACACTGGATTCAGCTCTCTTTTCTATGTATTAAAACCTTTTTCAAAAACGAAAATAACAAATTACTTACAGAATATGCCTTTATTTTTGTAGCATCCTGTTCTTTTTGCTCTTCTAGTTTTTTCTTTTGCTCGTTCATATCTTCTGATTCTTTCTGCCAGCTTTCCTTTTGACTAAAACAGTAATTAAAAATTTTCACTAAGAATGGTGAAAGACTTGACCATTTTTAAAACTCTCATTCAAACAGCACCCTTGAAAGGTACTTATTTTTAGCAGTAATATAATTTGAAAAAGACATTATAAATTTTAGATAGATTTTCAATAACCTATCCCCTCTGTTTATGCTACAGCTGGATTACTAATGAAAATAATGCTTAACTTGAAGTGTCTTACCTCTTCTTCACTATAGCACAGAGATATAGATGCCCTACTTCCCAAAAATATACATATACGGGATTTCATCTGCTTTAAATTACACACTTATATTTCAAATTAATTATTTTCTTGAGCATGTCTTCATAAAAATAGGCAAAGTTTAAAACTTTGCAAATAAAACCATTTCCAGTTTAAGTCCCTCTCTGTAAGCTAGAGGTCTCCCCTACTATAGGAAGGGAGACAAAAATCACACTGCTGGCCCTTATCATGCTGTAAGCCTGGAAATGGGCCCTTTCTTTTTGAACCAGACTAGGCCCAGCAGATTTCAGCAAGTATTTAAAATTGTGCCTAATAATTTAGCTGGTAAGATTTACAGCTACATAAAATAGTCTAGTAAATAATTAATGACTCTTTCCATAACTGTTTCCTTTGCATGAAGCACTTGCACATTCATTAGCTAAGAGAGACAACTTGGAAGGGGATCAAGGCTCCTGCAGTTCCTGAGAGACTGGACACTTAAGTTGATTTTGAAGTATTTTTAATTAACCATACAGAACAGCACAGTATCATAAGAAAAAGATTACTCGCTCATCCTCTGAGAATTTATCACAGCATAGTGGTTGGCTTTTTCTTTAAAAGATGTTGTTTCAAATTTCCCTCAGGAAGTGGACAGAATTAAACTTACGTTTCCCTATATCCAAATTCTGCATCAGAGTTCAGAATTCTAAACAAAAGGGCAGGCAATGGCTGTAATATTAACTCAATTTTTAATGGTTTTCAGCTGCATTAAGAATGTAATTTCTCACACTAGGTTTTCTATTTCAGTGAAAACAAATAGAAGAAAAACACTAAAAGATAGAGCAGAAAAAAAACACTAAAAGATTTAGCTTCACTTTGGCCCCAACTACTCCCTTCTATCCACTTTTATTCATTTATTTGTAAAGAAAAAAGATTATGAACTGTTATACTTGTCTAATGAAGGAGTTCCTATAGACCATTTAGGCTAGTTTAAACATGTAGTGCTGTTTCAGCAGCAGTATTTTCTCTTCAAAGAACATATCTTTTTTTCTTCCAGAATGGAAGGAAATAAAGGAAAAGGAAATAAAATGCTCTTGGAACTGAGTCTCTATGGGATGCCAAGTCAACGAATCTCCTCTCCTAACTTCAGCCTGCAACAGATTTGGAGAAGAAGACTTGAATCATCATCTTATCCTTGTCCCTGGAGAGTAGTAAATGAGGCTGTATATTATAGCCTTTTACATCTCCAAAAAGCTATAGCTTTGATGTCTCAAACAGAGATAATGCTATCTTAGGCAAACCAAAGAACGAAGAGAAGGTTCTAAAAGATAAACTACCCTTATTCCAAAAGCCACCTAGTGACTGTTCATTCCAATCCCGAGAAGAGATGACACAACTATCAGTCTGAAGAATCCAAATCACCATATTCATCCCTATGCTCCTAAGAGACGAAAATCCTTTTTTTTTTGGATCATAAGAATTTTATAAAAAATAGATTCCATGAAGAATATAAACAAAGAGTCTGAAAGAAAACCAACTACCAAGTCTTAGCAATCTGAAATTTCAAAACAGAGATCTCTGTATCTGGATAACAAGGAAGGTGTTTTTGTTTTGTTTTGTTTTTCCTCCATCAGAAAAACTGTTAGGACCCATACTTGAAAGTATAAGAAAATGAGACTGAAGAGTACATAATACCAGGTTCTAATAAAAAACAAGACATCAGATGCAGAAAGCACAATGAAATCCTTGTTATAAAGTGCGAAATATGAAAAGAGTACAGCAGAAAATGTGTTTCTAAGAGTTTTCTGAATCTTTACAGGAAATATATGGAGTCCATATCCAATAGCAGCAGCATTTACAACATTAACCAAAGAACTACTTCGACACAGCACTATATCTTGTACTCGGAATAATTAAGCATTTAGATAGCTGAACTTTCCTAACTCAGAAAACAGAACAATACCTTTGATATTCTTTATAGAGTAAGCCTTGCTGATGACGAATTACAGCAAATTTTCTCTTGTAGTCCTCTACTGCATCTTCTAACTGCTTAAGTAACTGTTCTTTATTTTCCAGTTCCTAATGATTATTTTCCAAATAAAAATATTGAAGTGATTAATATAGGTATTAAACAGTAAAGGATTAATCAAAATGCCAGTTTTCCCTTGCGTTTTTCACAACAAATGCTTCTGTCACAAACTGTGTGAACTGCAGATACAAAATACATATTTTCTTTAGAAACAACAGATGAAAAGAAGTCCAACAAACTACAGTATTCATAATAATAGGTGTGAAACAGTGCATAATTACACTGTGGTTACAGCCCTCAAAATTCAAAACATTATGACATGTTGCTAACAAAGAATATCAACTGAATGTCTAACTGAAAAGCCATGTTTTCTTCTCATGTCCCCGAACACTCTTCTACTTTAGTGTCACACATAGCTGAAAAATATTCTCTAATCAACAAAAGTAAAGCAATCGAAGACAGAACAAAATAATTTAACAATAATGAAAGGTAAGTTCTTTTAACTCCAATTCTCACAGTCAAATCTTTACTATATGCTTGCCTGCTGCGCTTCCCACAGGAATCACTTCCTTTGGTTTCAATATATTTATGCCTCTTTTTTTACAAATGTTGACACATTTTTGAGAAAAAATTGAATGAAAATTCATAAATAGATACCCTTGCTGTATATAGAAAAACTTTTCAAAGTAGGATTTGCACATGCAGACTCAGGTGTAGAATCTAGACAGAAGTAAAAGGTACCTTCTCACAGCTTTGTGATTGACGAACTAGAAGAAAGAGTGGGCATATATTTAGATCACAATTCAGATTTCAATCAACAAAATCTGAATAGTTGTCAAAAATTCAAGCATTACCTTAAGGTTTATAACAAAGTAAAATACTCACAGCTTTTAACAAAATGGAACAGTCCAAAGAATTTACTTGCTGTCAGAACTTCAAAATAATTTTAGAGAGTTCTCCCATGTCCATACATGGCATGTACTACATTTTGGAGGAAGTAGCTATATGTTACATCTTTGTATCAGGGAGTAAATGAGTTACCTGCACAAGACGTATTAAATATTCATTCAGAGAATTAATCATATTAACACTTGAAGGAGCCATTCCTTCTGGAAGATTCACTGTTTGGAAGACAACATTGGAACCTTCTGACTTATGTAACAAGGAAATTTCATTTTTCAGTTGTGCAATCTAAAGAAAAGAAACAAAATCATGAAGAAGTAGCTCTTGCTATTCAATTAGAAAATAAAACAAACAAAATTCCTGGAAAATGTATTTTTCCTTGTGCTAAATCAGCTGTTATTAACAACCTACTACACTTCCCCTTATATTCTAAAGTATCCATACTCTTTCAAGTAACCTTTTAAAATTGCTGTGATTTCATAAACCATTAAATGCATAGTATCTTAAGCCACATTTATCAAATGACTTCAGCAATCAGGGCATCTTGACATATCTGAGGGTTCACCACAGTTTTATACCAGATTGATTAAAACACAGTGCATCTCTATTCCTTTTAAAAATGTGAAATTTTGGAAAGAAATATTGCAGTGGTTATTCTGTGGGTTATTCTAATCAAATCTTGTCTTTTCTTTTAAAAGCTCTCTGATTTTCTACTTTAATAAAACACTGTTGCAGAATATTAGTTACTGGCAAGTGTTTTTGCATCATCAAAGGTGTTCTAAAAAGAAAATTTAAATTTGGCTTCTTGTAAGATAATAATTTATTCTTCATTCGTTACTTTCATTCCAAAATCAATTGTACAACTTAAAACAAGATACAGGATTTTAGAGATTCCTCATTTTAAAATACTTAATATCTGCTACGTATTTAAAACATAAAATGTAAGACCACTGGCTTTTTGAAGCAAGCCACAAGCTTTTCTGGGCACAGCTCTCTGCAAAAGATAGGCATGCTTGGTGTTTAACATAATAGGATATTCCATTAAGGAGATATTCACATTAAGAAGAGCAAGATCTGAATTTAAAGTGGACAAATTTGTAGGTCCGATACATAAATTTAATTCTGTCTAATTATACTGTTCAGACACGCTAAATTCTTTTCCTTATCCATGGTGTGGTTTTGTTCTAAATTATCAGACCAGTGAATTATGAAGAATAAATTGCATAAAATAAATTGTAATACCTTTTCATTTGCATTTGCCAGCTGATTAGAGAAATTTGTTGCTTTCTGCTGAGCGTGTTTCAGTTCTTGTCTTAATTCTTCATTACGTCCTGTAAGCTGGTCAACCTGAGCTTTCAAGTGCACACTAGCATCAAAGACACCCTCTGAATTCTTTGACTCCATTGCCTAAATGCAGTAAACAATTAACAAAACAGAGAAGTGCAGAAATAAACTGGAGCCCTCAGGTTTAGATTACATGAAGTTAGCAAAATGCATGAAATTTTAACATTGTTACACAATCTACCCATCAGTTTCCTGATCTTCCATAGACTGTAGTTTAAATGGTGATTGTTTTCTGTAAATACACTAATCTTTCTGGTAAAATACTTGAATAAAGACCTTTTCTTACACATTTCCTGCAGGTCCCATACAGATAAAATACATGGAAAAAAACCTTTTAGTTATGTTTTATGACTGAGATAATAAACTTGCCACAGACAATTTTTTACTATCAAGTTGAGGATATTTATTTTTTATTATTTTTTTTTATTTGTAGTCTTTTGTTGCTGTAAATTTCTAATTTGTATTTTTAAAGAGGTATCACACCATGTACTCCCATTTGTAACTAAGGAAGCACAAGGAAACCACTACTTAATTACACAATAACCCAAAAACCTATGAAGCCGAATAAAACTTACATTAACTAAACGATCCAGGCTAGGGATTATTAAGGCTGTTTCTCCTCCTTTATCGCTAGAATCCTTGAGAGCCTGCAATATTTCCTTCATTCCTTGTTGAAGTTGTTTATTCTCTACTGATAATTCTTTTACTGTAATAAAAATGGTAAATGTGTCTAAAAGCGCTGAAAAATGAGCTAAGGTTTTCTAGAACATTTCAACATAATACTCCTTGATTTGATATATAAAAAGAATGTTTATATTACATACAGGCATAACCAATTAGGAAGTTAAAAGCAGAGCTGTTAAGAATGGCCAGAGAGTATATTTTTCTGGAGAAATACCAACAAAACAATAATAAAATACTTCACGGGAACCCATTTGACCTATTGAACGTTCAAGTCTTCAATGTTTCACTTTTTTCACTTCTTTAGTAGCCTGTCTGACTGGCTTGCAGAAATCCAGAAACATGGCTATCTTGGAAATGTTTGTGTGTACAACAATGTAATAAATGCCATTTATTTTCACTGTTTTGTAATCATTGTGTTCACACCCGGACCAATTCACAACCATCAACTCCGCAGTTCAGAAGTACACCTGAATGACTGTACAACAACTTTCTATATACCCAGCAAACTCAATCATTGTGAAAAATACCAAAGGAAACTGTATTTAAAACAGAAACAATAAAGTCAGGTATTTGTGGTCAAAATCACAGAAACAAAACGACTAAATAAACTAACTAGCTGTAGGTACCTGATAATATTCCCTAGTTTTAAAGCAAGTTGCAACTTACATTTAGATTGAAATTCGGCTATTACAGTTTTGTTCTTCTCCAAATCTCTCTCTCTCTCTCTTAACTCATTCGCAAGATACTCATTCTAAAGAAAAGAACAAAGAAGCCTCAAAAATTGTAATTCAGGAGGTTTCGCATTAGAACCTTCATTAAAACTCTGTGGTTAAATGAGAATAAATGCTTGAATATATCACCAATCCATATACATTCTACAGTGAAATTATACTGTATGTAAAACAAAATGAGGTGTTATCTAGAAAGCAACAAAGAAATAGCCTTATCTTCATAGCAACAAAATTATCAAGAAAATTGTATTTAAATCATGAATAAACTTTATATAAGTACTTATCCTGTTTTAAAAAGCTTTGTACTACTTGCAGTGCTATCTTGCAAGAGTTAATTCTGTATAACTATTTAGCATACTCTTGATCAGCCAGTCTTTGGTTATCTGCTCATTCGAAGAAAATCCAACAGTAAGTTATTAGTATAAATGGAGATACTATCGCCATTTATATAAAAAAATGATATAAATATACATTTCCAAGACTTATCTTCGTAAATATAAAAAATGGCACTTCTTTTCTACTCGAAGGCAATTAGGCATTATTAATTCCCCAGCTTAGCTAACACGGTATTTAAAAAAAAAAACAAAAAAACACAACAGCAAAACATACTCCTGTAGCATGGAAAAACTGTTGCATAAACCAAAAAAAATCTGATTTATATAGACTTATACTTTCCATTGATCAATTGGATAACTCAAAGTGCTCAAGAGAAATGCCATTACTTCCAAACTATTTCAAAGACAGGAAACACCTCTTTACTTATCTTACACATTGTAATTGTGGTGTTTCCTCATCATATTCTTAGATGGTTTCTCGCAGAATAAAAATGCACAGGTTCTGGTTTTAACACTCTAACGTTCACTGGAAGAATTACAGAAGGAACGTCCCATATAACACCATCCAGGGAAACGCATATTCTTGGGTCACGCAGCAGTTGGAACAACAGTCTGGTACCGATCAAAGTGGGTGAGACACAGATGGGTTGGCCTGGTCCAGGCTCCAAATGTATCTCTAGCAACCAAAGCAATGTCTGCTAACACACCGAAACCGAAGCCAGCATTTCAAGGTACCAATTTAGGAAGCTACCAGTGACTCGTTTATGTGATTTACCATGTGAATAAAAGAAACTACAACAAGCATTCTGAAATCAACCTTTTCTTTCACCAAAGTTTTCAAACACTCTTTTGAGAATCTAAAAGATTTTATCATTAGGGAAGGAACCTTTTAATAAAAACCGGAATTTTTTATTGGAATTTTTTTTTCCTGAAAACAGATACACATTATCTTTGATAGTTGGCAGGGAAATGCATAAAAGCATGTAAGAAGCAATTCAGGGACTTCTTAGATGCTTCCAAGAAGGAAAGGCCTCTCTAACCCCAAAAGTCTCCATGCGTTCTCTCTGGAGGTAGGAGACAACCTCTAGTCAAATAACATCTGAATCATTTAAGAGAAACCTCATCTTCTATCTTTCATACTAAAGGGCTAATTCAGTCCCTACTTCATTCAACTAAGTACCATTTGTGTTTTTCTGTAGTGTACGGGTGTTGTATCAACTTTTTCCACCTACAGAATCAAAATAAATGCCCACATTTTTCAACCCTATGTCAACAAATAAATAAACTACAATTAATGACTTGGCACTTCTTTATCGGAAGAAAAAATGCTCAATTCTATTAGAACTATCCTATAGCTTTATTAATGAAGACAAAAGTAAACTAATGCATCTTCATTATTTCAATTTCTTTTATAAAGAACTGCAATAGTTATAAACATATACATAATATGTGCCTCACCTGCAATCCAAGGGCTAATTCCCTCCTGAATCGCTTTATGAGATTTTTCAATAGGATCTACATAACCTGAGTGTTCTGATTGTCAATTTTCAAGTCCACTTTCCAAACTTGCTACCTGCAACAGTTCTGTTAGGCACTTCTTTCCTTCTCTGTCTTCTTGGAAGGTAGTTAAATCATAAAACTTAACTTGTGAGTAGTCTTGCTTATCCTTCAATATCATTACTTGTGTTTTGCGCATTGCTGGCTTTGCAAAAGCAGATGTACAAAGAATCAGCACAGTTTTGCTGATAGTCCTGGGCAAAAATGTTCCTGATTTGTTTGCTCTGATTTAGAAATTATGGACACTTGATTCAAAAAAGATTGTTCATTTCTATAACTTCAGTTATTTATCTCTGAGGTCTGACATGCTTGCTAAGCATAAAACAAACCTGTGTAGTCTGATTTTAAGTCTTTTGACAACTCTGTGTACAATCTGTTATCCCTAATGTCTGTGTAAATTGTAGCTCTGGTAACACAAAACTCTATCCTAAGAGTTACAGAATCACAGGTCTCATTAGCCAGTTGCCACTCTGTCACATGTTTTGAACCTTACTGAAACAAAGTATTTATATTTTTTCCAAGTGATCTAAATTCCCAAGTATGCCAGAAGCTTTTCTAGGTATATTTCCCACAACTTTACTGTTTTCAGCTATATCCTTCAAAGCCTAACTGGTGCTTCTCTTTCTGTAACTCTCTATCTCCCTTCCATGTTACATGAGCTGCTAGCTTATATTCACAAAAATAAAGAATAGACATTAGCCTTCCAAAAAATTACACACCATTACTTTTTGGATTTTTAAAAGCAGTTAATAAAAGCACCTAGAGAAATAATTGATCAGATATTTACAAAATAACATCAGTTTTATTTTGAAAGAGAAATACAAGAAACGTTAATGAACTTGCTTTACGAGCTTACTTTTGCTTTTACTTCAGCAATATCGTGTCTGTTCAAGAAGTCCAACTTCCCCATATTCGTTCCCTTCTCTTCAGTAAAGCTATCAGTTATCTGCACATCACCAGCATCCAATCCTAATTGCAAACAAATGTACAAGTAATAAATGATTATGAATTTTTCATTTGTCTCCAAGCAACAAAATACATTCCATTTGGTAAGTCTGAGCTCTAGTTTTCTACCTGCAAAGTAAGGAGCTGTAAATCTTTCCATTTGAGCACATCCTTCCCTGGGTGGCACAGACTTGAAATTTTAAGATTTTTTGAAAACATACATTACATAGATTTACTAGAAATCACGGTGAGATCATCTTGCATATAAGAACTGCAAGCCAATGCTACAACTCTCAGTGATGCCTTACTAATCATCACAAGTCAAAAAAAAGGTATTGGACTGCAAGACGATACAAATAAAAAATCACTCACCTCTTCCTACAGAGTCAATGAAACTAGCCTTGTAATTTAAACAAATGAGTAGATATTACATAGATATATCACTAAGTACAGGCAGCATATATCTGAAAGGACAGTTTACAGTTTTAAAAATCCTACCTATTGTTGCAGCTCTTCTTCCTTTCTCCTGAGCCAACTTACGAACCTGTTTTTTCAGGTCAATTCTTTCCTCTTCTAGTCTTTCAATCTGCATGTTATTATTTAGACATCAGTATTTCACTTTGTTCAAATATATTTTTATTATGTCACTTTTACTAACAAAAAAAAAACAGACTGGTCACTTGCCTCTTGCAAAAGAATGTGGTTTTCAGCTCTATATTGCTGCTGCTTCAGTGCCTTGCTGTTTCTGAATTCATTTAAATCAATCATTGTGTTTGGCTCAAGACCTGAAACACAGTATATGCTGTATAATTATTCATTAAGAAGGCACATTAATGTTAGTAACAATTAGAATACAGTGAATTTAAATAAGAACGTAACTAGTCAAGTATAATTATACAAATGCTGATAGTTCATAGAACCATAGAATGGCCTAGGCTGGAAGGGACCTTAGAGATCATCTAGTCCAACCTCCCTGTCATGGGCAGAGACGCCACCTCTCGACTAGACCAGGACACACATGGGGTCTGAGCGGGAATCGAACCCACAATCTTGGTGTTGTCATTGTTGTCAGCATCGCACTCAATCCACTGAGCTAAACGGTCCCCCCAAAATAATTGGCTCCCCATCGGGGAATCGAACCCCGGTCTCCCGTGTGACAGGCGGGGATACTCACCACTATACAAACGAGGAAAAAAAAAGGGCTCGTCCGGGAGTTGAACCTGGGACCTCTCGCACCCAAAGCGAGAATCATAACCCTAGACCAACGAGCCGGGGCTAAGCATCTCTATATATGTACACACATCTTATGCTCAATGTAATAACACCAGAAGAAAGCACAATTTTATTTCCATTACTCAAAAACCAAAATGCAATAAAATGTCACCTAACATTACTGTTTAGATACTTCTATGTAAAAATAAGCCTGTCCAAAGTTTTCTCTGTGTTTTGCAATCCAGCATTATGAATGCAGTATGTTACAGTCTCCAAACACCATCTTATGAAATTATTTAAGCAGTATACAGTCAAAGAGAAATCAAAACCAAAAAAAGCACTACAAAATCTATTCTCTTACTTTCTTCACTCGAAGCAACTGGTAAGTCAAGTTTGATCACGTACATTCATCCAGTTTGTCCTAACTAACTAAAACCACTTGCAAATACTAACAGAACATATCAAATTATTTTCAAGTAGTTAGTAAAGATCTTCATGATACAATGCTATTCCAATTTTTACACAACAAGTAATTGAAAATATAATAGATAGCATACCTAAGCGCTCTCGGAGTTCTTCATTTTCATCAAGAAAATCATTTATTTTAAGTTCAAGTTTATTGACTTCTTTAATTAAAGTTTCAATCTCATGATCTCTTACTTCGAGTTGCTTTTTTAAATCTTTTATTTCAGCAACGGCCTCTTCCAAACCATATATTCCCTTGATGTCCAAATGGAAAGCAAAAAAAAAAAACAAAAAAAAAAAAACGAAAACAACCAACAGATGTAAGAAAAGAAATTATCAATCTATTTTTCATCATTACAGAGATAAGAAAAATCTTCTGCACTATGCATAGTGAAAGAAAGTTACTGAGTAAGAAGTAGATCCTTCAAATCTTTCCACTACAGAGGACTCTCTGCATATTTCAATGCCGAGTCCTCTTACTACACGATCATTCTAAGAATCATATCCTGACTGGTCAATTAATGTTCAATGGACTTCAGAAGCCCACATGGGGATGTTAAAACTGACAACTTGCAAAAATTGCTACGTATGGCTAACATACTGCATGCAGTCAGTGACCACTACATGTTACTATGAAAGAAAAAAAACAACCATAAAACCAGCATCAGAAGTCATTAATTTCTAATAGGATGACAGTAAAAAAAAAAAAGGAAAGATTAAATGATCTCCTAAAAATATGATGGAATAACCTGTCCACTCTTACAGATTTTTTACCAGTTCATAGTCTCTCATTCGTTTCAGAGCCTCAGCAAGCTCTTTGTCCTTTTCTCTAGCATCCGCTTCTGCTAATTCTGCTGATTTCTCAGCCTCCTTAGTTCTCTTTTCTAGCATTTTTAACTTTTCTTGCATATCCCCAATATGATTCCGTTGAGCAAGAGATGAGTGACCTGAAAGAAAAACATTGATCCAGTTACAACTAGGAATTCTCGCCATCAGCCATCACGCAAGAAAGAAACACCTTGGATGATGTTATAAAGGAGATTTTCTTTTTCTCTTTTTTTTTTTGCTCTTTTTAACTGAGTAATTACAAAAGACTACATGAGACTTCATGTACTTTGAACCACATGCTACTACTCATTGGCAATTCTTCATAAAGCTGAGACCTTATATGTTATATTCTTTTACAGACCAAGTACAGTTTTATTAAGCACGGTATTGTCCATCCACTGAAGTACTGTTAATAAATTTAAACTCTTCACAAATGTTTAATAAATGCAAATGATCAAAAAAAAGGATTAGTATTATTCAAATACTGCAAATGTTTTTCTGTACTTCTAGAGAATAAAGAATGCACAGTAAGTTTGTCGTTTCTTATTTTCCTCTCTATAAGCAATAAAATAAAATTGTCATGTTACCTCTATCTTTTTGGAGATCATTTTTTAATTCCTCAATGAGAAATGCATTTTGTTCCATTTCTTTGGTATACTGTTCGACTTGCTCAGTAAGCAATCTTATCTGAGCATCTCGCTCTTGCACACCCTACACACACAAAAAAAGAAACTCCATTAAATAATTCTTCTCTTCTGACAAGCAAGCTACCAATATAGAACACCACACAGTAAATGAAAGACTTAAAAATAGCTAATACAAAACAATTCATAAAACATCAAATATACTGTACTTACAAGATGGAGTTCAGATATAACCTAGAAGTTGGGTATATAAAGGCAAAGCAGGAAAAATAAAAAAAGAGTAAAAGGAAAGCATTCAAACACACAAAAAATAAAAGCATTTTAGTATATCAATTTTAAATGGAACAGTTCTCTATGAACTAGCCAATGGATGATGAAAAGTTTCAGATAGCACACATTTCTCACAGCTTCCTCACAAACAACTCAGAAACACAAACTCAAGATTGGGAGGACTAACAAATCCATCAAACAAGACACTTGCATTAGAGGCTGCCATTCAGCCAGTCATCTACCTTTTAAAAATTCGTATCACAACTTGTTTTTTGCATGCATATACATCCATAAGTGTACACATAGCCTCTGAAAGTGACCTCTGGTTAAATTATACTATTTCTATGCTTATATATGAACTTTAGAAATACCATGGAGTGCTTATGGTTGTTTCTTCTGTAATGAATGAAAAAAAGAGGGAAAAAGATAAAAAAGAGACTGGAAAAAAGTTATAAAAAACAATTATTATGTCAAAATCTTACTTTTTATCAACTTTATAGCGATGTTAGTTTATACCAATGTTATGAAAAACGGAAGCTCGGGCTTTCTTAGAGGACAAATACAACCACATTTCATATCTAAAGGTAAGGAGCTGAGCAAAGTTGTAAAGAGCTAAACATAACCCTTTAGAATGTAAACATAAACTGAACCATAACAAGCTCAGTCCATTTGAGTTAAAACACAGCATAGTAACTTGATTTGATTTTTAAGTGTCTGCTTAAAAATTACGCTTCTTTCCACAAGGATGTTTAAAATGTCATGCTAACAATGGTCATCCATAAAAGCAATCTCTACAACCACCTAATTAGCTAAAACCAGACTCTGCAATGGCTTATCAAAGTTACTTCCAGCTGCCTTCCTCTTCTGATCATCAGAAGCTGGTTTGTGCCTGTCGTTTTTCCTCCCAAGAAGCTTTCTGTTCCTAGTTTTAGCAGACTCTGCAAATATGTGCCTCGGTTTAGAAGACAGGGGAAACCAAAGCC